CAGGTCCTTTTGCAATTTTAAGTTTATAATACGTAAAATATTTGATGCGACCATGCTGTTCGCACCATATATATAGGACAGTGTATTTAGTTGTGAAAGCAGATCAATTTTTTCAATGTCAAATTCTGATGATAACGATAATATTCCAGGAACATCGATTGTTCGGTAATAAATTTATTAATTCAAATTAATCCTTCATTTTTATTAATTGGAATTATCTTCTCTAAAGGCTTCCGATAGATGTTTCAAAACTTGAACGATATCTCGTTTTGAAAATATCAGGTTTCAAAGCTCCTTTAAAAATTCGACAATTTAAAGTTGGACAAAGTAATCCTACTTATCTCTTAATTGATGCTAAGTAATATTTTCAAAAATTTTTGTCGAAGCTGAAGCTGGAAATTTAAATAATAAAATTTTGGGGTGTTTAGCTTTTTTTTTTTTTAGTTTCTTTAATAGTTAGCTTAAGATTTAGGATTATATTTGATAATAAGCATGTATAACCGGATTTTGGTAGAATTTATATTTTCAAGTCGAGGTCTCTAATTTCCAGCTTCAGCCATTTCCAGCTTCATGAAAAAATTAAATAATTTATTATAATAGTAAAAAATACTATGTGCTTCGAAAGAAACCTCCGGGAGCACTTTTATCTAAAACAGCTCATGCTGTTGAGCGAGAATTTAAAGTACTTGACGCGTTAGGCCGTAACACTGATGTACCTGTGCCAAAAGTGTATCTTCTTTGTGAAGATAGTGAAATATTAGGAACACCATTTTATGTAAGATTTTTTTTCTTTAAGTAATCACAAATAAGCAAATGTAAATTAATAAAATATAATTAATTTAATTACTCAGATAATGGAATACTTGGAAGGAAGAATTTTTGAAGACGTACCGCTCTCACCACTTCCTATTGAAGAACGCAGAAAATGGTAATTAACAAAATAATATTAATACTGTATTAATATTATTTAATTTCATAAAATATTTGTTATTAACGGCTTTTATAATTTCTTTCATTTTAATCAGTTGGTATTCAGCCATTGACACCCTTGTAAAACTTCACTCAGTTGATTATAAGTCCATAGGGCTTGTGAATTATGGAAAGCCATCAGGATTCTATTCTCGACAAATTCATTCATTGTTCAAAGTTTCAGAAGCCCAGGCTGCTACAATGGATGATAAAGGTAATAAAGTAGGCTCTCTTCCAAGACTCAATGACATGATTCAATGGTTTAAAAATAATGAAATTTTGGATGATACATCTATTATTCATGGGGATTTTAAGGTATCATTTATTTAGAATTTATTTCAGCCGTTTTCAAAAAGGTGCGCACCATTATATCGTGGGAAATCTACACGATTTCCCTGATTTCCCTTCGATTCCCCTTATAGCGGTTTGTAGAAAGGTGTGACCTCTTCAGATCATCGTGTAATATAAAATCGCGGAAAATTAGACAATTTTTCGATTTTAAAGAAATTATACATGTTCCAAATATATATAGATATCACTGATCGAATATATTATTGATAGAGAATCTAGAATCTCTGAGATTTTCCATTGTCGTTATCACGAAAATCGTGGGGTCATATCTTTTTTGCAAATTGCTATAATTTCCATTATTCACAGAATCAGAAAAATCGGGAAATCATGCGATTTCCCACAATACAATGATGCATGCTTGCTTACACCTTTTTTGAAAACAGCTATAATTGAATCGTATTTTAGAAGTGCTGGATAATTTATATTTTGATTTATAATGTAGATTGATAATTTAGTAAGTCTCGAAATACACTATGTTTTATAAATTCTATGCAATTATATTTTCATATTATGAATAAATTATGTCAATAATTTAAAAAAGGTCTTTCATCCAACCGAATCACGAGTTATCGGAATATTAGATTGGGAACTTTCAACTATAGGCCATCCACTTTCTGATCTTGCAAACCTGTTAATGAATTTTTTTACCAAGGACCTTCCTGGTTCCCCTATAACTGGCTTACGTGATGTTAAAAATTTACCAATTCCATCAGCTAATGAATTAATTCAAGCTTATTGTGAAAAATCTGGTCGACAGTATCCAATACCGAATTTTGAATTTGCTATCGCGTTTACATTTTTTCGGGTATTAATTTTTGGTGTATTTTTTGTTGGGGATGATACTGAAATCGGATGTTGAAATTTTGACTTAATATGAAATTTTGAAAATTTTTTGGGCGCTTTTGTCAACCTTTTTTCGAGAGTTAGGTTGGGTTTAGAGGTTAGTATTAATAATAAAAGAGTATAGGTAGATTTTAGTAGGGTTTACGAGACCCCAGATTTCAGCATCATCCAATTTCAGTATCATACCCGACATTTTTTATATTGTTTGGGTTTTATAAAAAACATTAAGTTTGTTTTTAACTTTTTTAGACCGCTGTTATCTTGCAAGGAATTGCTGCACGTATAGCCCGTAAACAAGCCAGTTCTGCTAAAGCAAATGCTTATGCTAAAGGTTTTAAAGATTTTGCTTTAATGGGTCTTGAAATTATTGATCGTTACGAGACCAAGAACAAATTATAATTGTTGTTTTATACGCTAGTTTGATTGTCAATTTCAGAGTTTCGTCAACAAAATATTAATGGCTATCCGTTTGCTGTACTAAATTTAGTACAATTTTAAATAAAAATAAATTTAAATTTATAAAATATATAAGAAATATTATATTCATAACACTGTGTTTAATATAATACCTATATAGTTTTACTTAGGGTTAGGGTTCAGTTTAAGATAAATAAGGGTTTTTTATTATACAATATATATTAGACATAAAGTTCCGATAGATCCTGATCTTAGTTCTCATAAGGTTTTTGGGGTCTTGAATATTTTTACTTAGAGTCCCTGATCCTATTTACTTAGTACATTTTTGAGATATTGTATAAGGTGTTATATAGCATGATGTTATATAAACACAACTTTCCAATATATAAATATATATTTATATTTTATTTTGATAAATTAAAAAGCTAGCTATTTTAACAAAAGTTATATGAACAAATTTAAAGATTTTAGTTTAATTTTTTTTATGCATATTCTTTAAATGCATGTTTTATAAAAATCTTTCTAAATACATGTCTTTATTTCTTCTCAACTCATATAATATATAAATTTTTACTCTCTTTAAGTGCAATACCTCTCTAAATATAAGATTTTTGACTACTTCTCAGCTATGCATTTAGAGGTTTCCTATATTAAAATATTAAAATTTTATAAAAATACAAATAACAATTTTATATATACAATTAAAATTATGAGTTTTTAATATACTATATTATAAGAAATAATCTAGTTGTCATCAGCAGTAACAGTTACTGGATTGCAATTGACCAAGCAGATCATGTTACAGAATTAAAACAAATGCTAAAGTTAATTGTTATTAGAATCAGAGTGAGAGTTGAATTAGGGTTGAAGTAGAGTAAATAGTATAGTAAAATTTTGTAAGGAAATTTTTTATTAGAATGTAAAAGGTGGTTTCATAAGTAAAATTTTGAGCTATAGTGAATTTTTGAAAAAAATTTCAAAATTTTCTTCATTTTTTTGAGTTATATAAACATTATATCTAATTTTATGATGTGATTGGCCAATTGCAATCTAATACTGTCACCATCAGTAATAAATAGATTTGCCCATATTATAAAACTAATTTTTCTAATTCTAATAATAGTAATTTTTTAAACTTATTTAATAAACAAAAAAAATATATAAATTAATTTTGGTAATTTTTTTATAAAATTTACTATATTAAATATATAATTTACTAACTAAATATAAAAAATATTATCTATTTTAGGTTTGTATTATTTTTAAACAAATTTATTTAACCTATTTTAAAAACTTAACTTTTAAATAAAATAATTATTTTAAAATCAAAGTTAAATCTAAAATAATCTAAAAATTTTTATATTTTTATATATAGTATAATTTTATAATAAATAAATAAATATAATATACAGTAATTATTTTTTACTATGTAGACTGTATATAGCACACAGAAACAAAATATTGTATATATTTTCTTTTAAACATATGGGCTGCCGTCAATAGAAATAAGGCAAATTAACATTTTAAAAAAATTTAAAAGCCTTAACTTTCACAGCTCATATCTCACTGAAGTTTAAAGCTATCTTAATAAATTTATATTTAAAATAAAGCTTAAGATCTAAGCTTTTATTTAAATAGAAAATTATTAAGATAGCTTTAAAATTCATCGAGATATGAGCTGTGAAAGTTAAGATTTTAAATTTTTTTAAAATGTCAATTTGTCTTATTTCTATTGACAGCAGCCCATATGTGCAAATACTATATAAAAAATATTAATATTTTGTAAATAGTATATATATTTGTAAATAGTTGTTTATAGTTTTTTGATTTGCTATAAAAAGAAGTTTCTAAATTGTATAATATTCACACAGTAAATTGAAATAAATAGTAGTATAGTTTTTACTGAAATAGTAAAAACTTAAAGAAATATATATATAACTATAAAGTCTATAAAAGAATTAAATATACTCTTATTGACCCTTCTCTATTTTTTTAAGAAAAAATTTTATAAAAATGGGTATTCTAACTTATTTTTCAAAAAACCAACATACTTCTTACTAAAACAATCAACATTGCTTATTTTTAATTTTTTTTTAATGTTAAGGTGATCACTTTGAGATCTGGCATGTTTTATTAAACTTTGAATCGAATATTAGGACAATCACATGGGCTACTTCTGACTTTGTTACATTAACAAAAGTATAGTTAGCCACATATACACCTTTAATTATTGTTTATTTAAAGGCTCCACTATACATATTACTATTTATAGTTACCTGCTAATTGCTATATCTGAGATCTGCCTGTGGATCACTTATTTAAACTCTCTAATCAACTTAGTACTATCAGATATTCTTCCCAAAGAAAAACTGCTACAAGGCCCCTTTTGACTACTTTATCCTTGTGGTAAACCTACTAAAGCAATCCATGTTTCACACATGTATTTTCTAAATTTTTGGTAACTTACATCTAGGCTGCAGCCAAGTACTTGTAGTATTTTACCTCTACTATCATCACTTATTCCTTGCTTTTGTAAAGTTTACCCAAACTCTAGCACTCACTTTATGAACTATCAACAATACTTCTATGTCAACTATCAGTGCCCCAAACTTTCAATTCAGATGGCCTAAGAGAAACCAGTAAGTGTCTCCTGATATTCCAAATGAATTTTTTTTCTCTGGTTGTTTGACAGTCTGGTTGGTATAGTGCTTTTCTAAACACTTGGTCTTCATTCAGTTTACTTCTAGTATTTGATTCCCAAGATGATAATTCCATACATAATACCATCAAAGATCTGTACTACCTCTCTACTTAGAACTTTTCAAATAGGCTTCTGTATCTTTTGATCCTTTAGATTAATTTGGCTGCTTCACTTAGGATTTATGTAACTTATATATCATATTATTGTTTCACAACCTCTTAGTACAAGTTAATATGACTAAGGTTACAGATACTAACCCGATCATTATATTATATAGTCTGCTATAATACATTTCATAAATTTAAATTTTGTCACCAATGAGATTCAAACTCTTGTTTTGCTGCTTGGGGGTACAACAACTTAACAACTTCACAAAGTTACTACACCCTTATTGCTTATTTTTAATTTTTTTTTTTTAATATTAAAGTGATCACTTAGAGGTCTGGCATATTTTATTAACTTTATGATTTGAATGCCAGAGTAACTACTATATAAGTACTCTTGACTTTGTTATATTAATGAAAGTATTACTACTCTAATTAACTTAGCACTGTCAAATATTCTTCCTGAAAAGGAATTGTTGTGAAAGCTCCTTAATATTGTTAACATTAGAAAAGAAGCTATTTAAAGTAAAACTTCACAACCATTAATCCAATTAAGATGAAACTACTACTATTGGAATCAGTTTATTGAGACAAACCTAAAAGTGGTGAGATTATTCAAATTCAATTACAGAAAGCCAAAATATCATCAAAAATGTGATTTAATCAAGTGATTTATATGTAGATCACATGTATCACAATCTAATTGGCTAATGATTTACTGTGCAAAATGCTTTACATATAGCATATCTATTACATATCATATTTGTAGCATTTATATTATTTATTTTAAATATCATATATATATTATTTGTGTTATATGAAAAATTATATTAAAATAAAAATCAACTCTTTCTAACAATTCTCTGGACAACAACAACAAAAAACTAAACTACAGAAAAATGATATAGAAATATCCAAGATAGATACCTCTCAGTTTTACTTTAGAGTAAAGCAGTTGTTGATGAAGTTTAAAGACGTGAAATACTGAGAAACAGATGTTTTTTGAACAGTTTTTCTTAGGGTTAAACTTTGCTGTTTCTGGTAGATTTTCTAAATTATTCGGTATCCAAACTAGAAGGATATTCTGGAAACTGTTTTTATCTTCATGTAGGTTGTTGTTGACGAAGTTCAAGGAACATGATATATCAAAGAGCAGGTGTAACTTGGATGGTTTTTCTTGAGGTTAAGTTTTTTTTTGCTAATTTATTGAACAGACTCCCTAAGTTATTTGGTATTCAAACCAGAAGGCCTATTCTGGAAACAAGTAGTAGTTAAAAGACTCTCACTGAGATAGTAAAAGCTTGAAGAATTGTCTATATAACTGTAAAACTTACAGAAAAACCTCACATACTCTCATTATCTCTCCACTTTTTTTTGAGAAAAATTTTGTAAAAAAGTAGGCAATTCAGCTTACCCTCTTCAAAAGATCGATATATTGTTTACTTACCAAATCGGTTAGCATTGTTTACTTTTTTTTTCCATCACAACAAACACATAAATACCTATGGAATATAGACATATAGATTATGTGTCTCAGAAGTAGCAACCCAAACAAATGATGCTTCGAGATCAACAGTGCGAATTTCCGACCTCTCTACAGTATTGATAGTAGGATACAATTTTTGGCAAGCTCTTGTGGGCTGTATTCTCAATAAGGTGCTGGTGTTGAAGAAGCTAATTTATTCCTTTATAGTTTTTGCTTAAATATACTAATTAGATAAGTTAAAATAGAGACTAGTTTATATAGTAGTATGTAATTTTTACAAAGCCTAACACAGGCTTATAATTGTGACTGTCTGGTGTGGGTAAAAAATCTCATATTTTTTTTTCTTATTTTTTCTTTTACCCCTTCTTTTCTTGTTTGTATCTTTTATCATATCCTCTATACCTCTTTGTTTTTTTTTATATATATAGTTTTTCTTTTTTTTTCACTTCTCTACGAGAAGATATCATCAGTTTGGTGGTATTCTATTGTAGTGTGATGGGTCGGACAAGCTTTCCGGTTAGAGTATTACCTTTTGGTTTTATCTCGCTGGTGTGGCAGATCACTGATGAGCACTTGTTAGAGTAGCAGTAGGATGTTAGGATCATAGGTTTAATGTTATAGCGATATATTTGTAGTCTTCTACAAGATTGAGGCTTTATTAAACATCGATCACTAGTACGATTTTGTCTAAATAAAAAAAAAAAAAAATTATTTGTTTTTATTTTTTTTTTATAGTCAAGATTAGCCTCTTTGGCTTATCGCTTTTATTAGATTATAGAATCATGTGATGCTCTTATTTAGGGGTCATCAGACAAGTATATTCTGACGAGGGTATATTCTAGCCATACCTGCACCTTTTGAGTGGCTAATTTAAATAGTCTGCCTATTACTAGGTTCTACACTAGATGCTGTACTTGTAATCTACTATTATTTAGATTACCTGATTAAACCCTCTGATCTGAGTTTCCTATGCCAATCCATCTAATCTCACCTGAAACATATGATACATTAGTCAGTCCAAGTTCTAGAATCATTGCAAACTACCTATAGGACTACTGGCTTGGTTACCTGATTCAACCTCAAAGTCATCACCTACTAGAGCAGTCTGGTATTCACTATTACCATATTACCTAGTCTACTTTAGTAACTTACGCCAAGTCCGAGGACAAGTACTTGCGAGCTGAAGCCGCTATCAATACCTACTTAGCCCTTGTAGAGTTTATCCAAACCTTGGTACCTTCTTTTCAAGACAACCTAGTACCTTCTCTTTTAGTATCCTCTAGCCGATCTCTCTAAACTACCAATCCAGATGGTCTAGATGAGATATTAGTCTCTTAATATTTGTACTACAGATCCTTTTTCTCTGGCGATTCTGGCAGCCTAGTTGGTGGAGTACCTTCCCTCTAAATACCCGGTCCTTGTTCAGTTATGCCAGCCTCGAGTTAAGCCTATTCAGTAGCTACTATTGAAGGTTTGTGCTACCTCTCTACTCGGGTCTTGCCAAGTAGGCATCTATCTTTCCGGTTCTCTAGATTTATATGAACACGAGGTCTTATCTTGGGTTTGTACTGACTAATATCGGCTTGTATGCTTTCGTATAACTTATATATTACACGAATGCCCCATGATCTCCTAATCTTGTTGGTGCCACCAAGGTTACAAAGATCCTGTTCTAACTGATCATTGAAAGATAGTAGCTATCATATAAGCAGAATATTCAAAATTTCGCCATCGGTGGGTTTTAAACCTCCACCTGCCAACATGCTGCTTGAGAGTGCAACAACTTAACTACTTCACTAAGTTGCCACACCTTAAAATAATTATTTGTATTATATGTAGTATCAGTATTATATATATTATATATCTTATTAGTACTATTTGTAATATTTATAATATAATTACTAGATATAGACCATTATATTTTTAAAAAATTGAAAAGTATAAAAGCAGCAGATGTGGACCTTGAGTTTAATATTGTGTCTTCATATACTTTCAACAATAAAATACATTTTGTATACCAAATTCTAAACAGTTATTAGTATCTTCATATACTTTTAATTGTTGCTTCTTTCATAATTACAAATTGTCTTAAATCTTCTTTATTAAGTTTTGTAAAAACACCATACTGACTTAGCTAAAATACAGTAACTAGTTTGAATTACACAAAGTATTCAATAGCTATAGTCACTCTAATTATCTATTATCTTTAAAGAAGTAGATATAGGATAACAGTACTTTAAAGCAAACATACACTACCATATAGAGGATCCTTTATCCTTGTGGTAACCTACTAGAGTGATCTATATCTCATATATGTATCATTTAGATTTTCAGTAACTTATGTCTAAGCCATGGCCAAGTACTTGCAGCTTTTTATCTCCGCTATTATTATCTACTCCTTGCTTTTACAAAGTTCACCCAAACCCCAGCACTCACTTTACGGACTATCAACAGTACTTCAATATCAACTGTGTATATCCCAAACTTTCAATTCAGATGATCTGGGAGGGACTAGTAGACATTTTCTGTTATTCTGAATGAATTTTTTTTCCTCTAGTTATCTGGTGGCCTGGTTGGTATAGTGCTTGCCAAACACTCGGTCCTTGTTCAGTTTACCTTCAGTATCTGGTTTTTCAGATAATAATTCTTTATATAATGCTATCAAAGATCTGTGCTACCTCTTTACTTGGGACTTCTCAAGCAGGCTTCTATATCTTCTGATCTCTTAGATTTATTTGGCTGCTTCACCTGGGCTTTGTATAACTTATACATTACACTATATTTCACAACCTTCCAATATGAATTGGTAAGACCAAGGTTACAGATGCTTAATATTTCAAGCTGACTAAAGCAGCTATAGCTAAAGCAGCTTAGCTAGCTAAGCCAGCTAATAAAAATGTATCAGCTAGCTAATATAGCTTAAGATCACAAGACTTTAATAGTATAATTTAGACTGAAATAATAATGCTAGGCAAAATTAAGTAATAGATTCCAAAAAAAAAAATAATTGAACATAAAATATAAGCAAGAATGAAAATAAATTTGAGTAAATATCTAATAATTTTTGAAGATAAAAAATTTGGTTTTAGTTATTAGCCAGCCACTTAGCTGATTTTTTGCTAGCTGGCTAAGCTAGTCGATAAAAACTTCATGGCTTGAAATACTATAAATGCTAATTCAATTAATATGTTATAAGTTTTATCATAACACATTCCGTAAATTTGAATTTTATCGCTGATGAAATTTGAACTCTTGTCCTGCCACTTGGAGGTGTGATAACTTACCAACTACACTAAGTCACCACACCTTATTGCTTATTTTTAATCTATTACAACAAATACATAAATATTCATAAAATATAGATATATAAATTATGTGCTTCAAATATAACAACCAGGTCAAATAATGCTTCAAGACTACAAGTATAGATTTCTGACCTCTTTACAATACTAATATGAAAGAAGATTATTTTTTTTATACAATAAATTTTTTATTTAGATATACTAATTATATAAATTTAAAGTACAGACTAGTTTAAATAGTAATATATAATTTTTACAGCCTGATATAGACTTATAATTATGACTATCTAGTAAATAAAATTCCTATATTCTACTTTTTTTTTTTTTTTTTTACCCTTGCAATATCACGAATAGGCGAATTTTATTAGATATTTTTAAAGTAGTATATTTATCACCACTTACAATTATGCTGACCCATAACCTCGTACTGCTTCATTGAAAACTATTCAGATCTACATATGCTATACTACTTGTTCTTTAATTCTATAGATAACCCAGTAGGGTTCTCATATTACCAGGCTGCTCTAGAAAGAATGTAGTATATACCTCTCTAATTTTTCTATGTCTTACACATTTTCAGACTAAGCCTTTTCAGTAACTTACAAGTACTTGTGAGCCGAGGCCGCTATAGTTATCTACTACTGCCTTTGTAAAGTTCACCCAAACCCAGTATCTACTTTACAAACTCTCTTCTATACTTCTGGAAACCCAAACTCCCAATTCAATAACCTGGAAGGGCAGAACCCTTCCTTCATTTTTTCCTGTTGGTCTGGTTGATATAGTGCCTTGCCAAATGCCTCAGTTCTGTCTGGTTTTTTGGTATCTGGTTGATCATCCTTTACATAATAACCATTAAAGATCTGTACTATCTTTCCACTCAGGTCTTGCCAAGTGAGCTCCCATATTCTGTAAATTCACTAAATTTATTTAGTAGCTTTACTCAGGTTTGTATAACTCATACATTACACTACATGTTCTACTACCTCCCATTACAAGCTAATATGACTCTCATTACAGATTCTACAATCCAATAAAATACAGTTTTCCAAATGCATTTTCTGTAAATTCAAATTTTCATCACCAGTGGGATTCAAACTCTGATTCTGCCACTTGGAATGTGACAACTTGCTAACTTCACTAAGTCACCACATCCTTTTTCTACTTTTTTTTTATTTTCTCCTTATCCCTTTTTTTTTGTTTTATATTTTATCATACTTCCCTATACCTCTATGTTCTTAATATATATTTTTTTTCATTTCTCTATGAGAAGATATAATCAGATTAACAATATCCTATTGTAGGATGGTGATCAGATAAGCTTCTAAGAGGATATTATCTTAATTGATTGTATCTTTCTGATATGGCAAGTTATTGGTAAGCACTCATAAAAGCAGCCACAGGATGTCAGGGTTATAGCTTTATTGTCATAATCTGTTGTCTTAAAGGAATAGATTATAGGTTTTCTATGAAACCAGGCTTGAATAAACACAGTCACTGGCGTAACCGCCTAAGTTGAAAAAATATATACTGTAAATATATATATTAAATTTAGTACAAAAGTGAAACGGATAGCAATTAATTATAAATTCTAATACTAATAATATTTACACTAAGATACGGGAAGTCATGATACAGTAATAAATTTAACTGTTGTTGAATGTGCTGTTAGCAAATGGTTGTCAGAAAATCTACTGGCACCCAATGTAACTAAATTATTGAGAGTGTTTTTCTTGTATCAATAGTAGTTTATAATTTATATCAAGTAGGCTTTTTAGCTTTTTATACTGAGATTAACTTATATTTTACGAGCATTAATCAAGTATCTAGGTAAACTACTTATCTAGCAATATTTGTTTAGGCTATTTAATAATGCTTGATTATTTATTATTTAAATTTACCTCTAATAATAAAATATTTCAGACTAAAGTCGTATTGTTCATTATTTAGAAAAATCAAATATGTATCTAAGATATGAAAAACCCCACAGCAAAAGATAGCTTTGGGGCGTTAGTTTTGCCGAAGATTCTGTAATAATTATGTTTACTAATATAAATCTTTATAAGATATATATTATATATATATATAAACACAATCTGTCTAATTGCAGACCTTTACGTATGCATATGAACAGTATATGCATTTAAGTCATAACCATTTTGGTGTTAATAATTAAAAGCCAAAAATTTTTTATGTACTTGGAGAATATCGATATATGCAATTAGACGGTATCGACTGTACTAATATAATTAAAAATTGACTATATAATATAGTTAGATTGTTAATCTTATTTAAAATTCTAAATAGTATATCCTGCCAATTTATTGCGATTTGATTTCTTAAAACAACACCGATATCTAGGTATGAAATTTTCATATCGATGTTGTTTTGAGAAATCAGAAGTCACTTAGAAATCATGCGATTTTTTTTTCTTGATCTGCAAAATTTGCAAACCGTAATAAAGTTATTTGAGTATCGAGTATTTTGACGAATTAACCCCATTCGCAAAAGTAAAATTTCAAATTTAATTTCCTCAAAACATTCATCGCGTCATAATCAGATAAAGATACTTCAAGACTCAACGACCAGATTTTGCATTATTCGACAAGTAATCGAATAGTACAAAATCGTTATCATACACTTATTATCGAATTCACTTCCAACTGTGCATGTTTTCGATAAATGAGTATAACGATAAAACGATTGGCGTTGAAATTGAATAAATTGGACATATAAAATGCATTAATTAGATAATTGGACATCTAAAATTTTATACATCAAATTCAAACTAACGATGATTGGTCATATAAAGGTAAATGATGAATTGTTTACTTCGGTCAGAATATCCCTCTTCATTTTAATATATGTTTTCAAAAAAAGAATAAGAAACACCCCAACAAAAACTACAAGAAATTTTAAATTATAAAAAATTTGAACTTTAATAAATATGGAACTAGGTATTGAATCCAGAACTCCTTCTAAATGTAGGGAATGTCGCACTAACAGTAGTTTGTAATGTACTCTGTAAAGTAGATGTTACAGTACTTGCAAAGTGAGCTCCCATATCACGAGCCACTGCGCTAGCACCACTTGTCGAAATTGTTGCTATCGTTCCAGAACGTTTCTTAAGTTTATTTGCTTCGTTATACGCAGATACTATCTCTGATATGTTTGTTTCCAGTACCTTCAATTTTAAAATAATATTTTTTTAGTGTCGTTTACGGAGGAAATACTTTTAGATAATACATACCATTCCTCCTGAAACTACTTCTGAAAGAATATGATGAACCTAATTAATTAGAATTAATATAAATCAATCGGAACCTTTATTATTATTAGTTAATATAGGCTATCCGCAAAAATCCTTACCTCTTCAAAATGAAATATCTTAATTCGAAATGATACAAATCTATGTGTTAATATTAATTATTTAGTCTTGCTAAATCATATTTGAAAAATTTTATGTAACTCACCAGATCTAGTTCGCACACGTTTTCAAAACATCGATCCAAACTTTCAACGAAAACCTAGATATATCTAAAAACATTTACCAAACACATAAAATGATTTAATAAAACAAACAGTGAATATTGTTTTTTTTAAAAAAACAAACCTGAATTAAATCCAAAATTCCCAATTCGCTTTCACTTTCATCAACCACAAAAACGAAATATAAAGTTGCATAATGCCTATAAATAACACGAGTGTCTTTTCCACCGAGCATTTGACTCCCTTCAAGAAAATTACAAGCCGTATCAGGACGTTTTGAGACTAATGAATATATTTCTTGAAGTAACGCTTGCTGTGTTCCAATATCCTTATAATGACAGAAACATTGAAGTAAATTATAAAAAGTGTTGTTATTTCAAAAAATAAAATAAGCTTACTATCTGTTGATAGAATTTTGTGATACGAGGTTTTCCATGGTTATTAAAAATAAGAACAGATTTAATCATTTTATTAAGTATTGTGTGAAATTCACAGTTTTTCGAAAATGGAAAAGGTTTAAATATCTGTGGATACCAATATCTCACATGATAATGAAACACGTGGGTGACAAATACTGTGAACAGTCACATTCTGATTGGTCGAAAGTCAAAACTAGCTTTTAAATTCACCCTAAGTGCACTTCCCTAAGTGCACGGATTTAAATTTTCTCTAAATGCACGGTATAGTCTGGTCCCAGCTTATAGGAGCCCTATATAATTTGCTCTCTATAAATGCACACCCTCTTTAAGTGCACTCTTTTCATTTTTTTCCTATGGTCCCGAGGGGGTGCACTTAGGGAGGTCTGACTGTAAAACCGTATAATTAAAACTCATCAATTTGGATAGGTAGTCGCCGCTCAAAATTTGAAAGACTTAAGTAACTCAAACTTTAAGCGAGGATTTCTCGATAACTACGTTTATTTTAATTATACAGTTTTATAGAATCGAATTTCATCGAATTTAAATAGATTGTTGTCGAAATAAAAATTACATTTTAATTGTTGATTTCAAGTTAGCGACTTTATTTTCTCCCCATGGCTAGGGTGTTACCGTAAGTCGCCATATAAACCATCCCACTTAATAGTAGACCAACCCCTCTTATACCCGGTTCTATAAGGTTAAGAGTTTAGTGGAACGTAAGAGATTAACCGGTAATTTATATGAAAGTTATACAGAACGTACTGTACGTACGTTACTATACCCCTTTTTCCTGCAGTGTATCCTCCGTGTATAGTAAACCACCTAGTCATCAGTTTAAATTTCAAATTATTAAAATCAATTAAAATTTAAGATCAGGTGTAACATTATACTTCCAACCCTAATACTTAGCCCTAACGCTGGTACGTACGTAGCAAAATTTTTTTTTTTTAGTTGATGCTAGGGTCCCAGGTATCGGTATATGAAGATTTACGATAATGGTTTGGAGCTTGATATAGAACTACTTTTTTGGGGATACACTTGACCACTTTCGCATTTCATTTAACTTTTTTTCAAATTTGTTTTTCAAAAATAATGAAAAAAAATTATGCATATTTTTTTTTTAGCAAGTTATTACCCTGCATTCAGAAATGTTACTGCGATTCAGAAAAGACAAATGTCACAATGAAATGTGACAATTTAGCGCTAGTAGTGTTCCTTAAATTTTCTTTATACGTACGTACGTACCAACTGCCCCAAGGATATCAATCTATTTACAAATCAATTTTGATTATGCACTCTCTAGGCACAACTACAAGCATTTTTTGATACTATTGTTCAAATGTAATATAAAACATCTGGTGAAATGTATCTCAATGTAATATAATCTGGTGAAATTATCTCAATGTAATATAAAATATCTGGTGAAATGTATCTCAATGTAATATGAAATATCTGGTGAAATGTATCTCGAAAAGTTTAAGATGGCGGAGAGTTTTAACTATTTTATTAAGGCCGAAATTGTTATACATATACAATTCGAAAGTTTGAAACCTCAGCTTTTTGAATCCCGAATCGACCTTCTGCAAAATGACTAATACGTGCGTATTAACGTTAGTGTTTTAGGTAACTGCGGTTAAACCGGCTTAGTCGGCTAAGCCAGCCGATATACCGGTAATATGGTCGACCGGCTATGGTAAAGATCACATGATTATAAATGGTAAGAAAAAATTTTTAAGAGACAAGTGCACGATTAAGTTAAAATTTTGGAAAAAGTTTCGAAAGGTTAGCCACTAGTTATCCACTTAGCCGTTGTTTTAGTTGGCTGGATTAGCTAGCCGACTACACCATATGGTTAATACACTAGTACATAGTTAATTATCGTAGTTAACACGGATTGGTTAGGTTAGTGTATATGTAGAATATCACAACACTGTCACTTCCTATGGCTAGGGCACTACTATTGTACTAACAAGCTTGTTCAGACAGATTCAAATGACAATGCATTGAGGCCGAACTGAACATTTCGCATCCTAGTCGGTTCAAAGTCGGTTTAGAGTTTTCGGCGGAACACCGAAAATTTTACCTTTTTGGGGTTTGTCAATACGGATTAAATACGGATGCATGCAACCTAAGTTTCTTGAAGAATAACATCACAGATTGGTGTGAACTTTTTAACAGTGTACGAATATGTTTTATATTATGTGCCCTATATTTAGGTTATATCCACTCCACATAGTTCTAACGTCATATGGATTGATTCATTTACGCAATTGTTAATTGTTAAAGAAAATTCACTATTGTAGTCTCCGAATGTTCGATCATTGTACACGGGCAAGACTTGTCAAATGAAGGAAAAGACTAGTTTATTATGTAATCGATTTATATGCACTGACACAAGCAATTTTTTTCCAAATTGTTATCATGTGTTTTTATATTGTATAACATCTAAAAATGCATAATTATGAGTACTCTATTACATCTTGTAGTTTTGATTCTATCTTTTTAGAAATGCCTTCGGTGACATTAATAGCAGATACTTTGAGAGAAATTTTCGAATATCATAAAGATGATCCGAAAACCCTTCATAGTTTGATTACTGTCAATCGACTATGGTGTTGCCAGGCAATTCCCTTATTATGGCGCAGACCTTTCGAGATGGCTGCTCAAGATAGATACCATCAAATTATTGGAACCTACATAATGTGCCTTTCAGATAAAGCATTATCTAGATTTATGTTTGTTGGAATTAAATTGAGCAATTTTAAAAAACCTTTTTTCAATTATCCAACATATTTGCAGGATTTTGACTCTGAAAGATTTCGTTTAGCACTTAATACATGGATAAGCATGAATGTCATAATTGGTTCTACAATTGAAACGCGAGGTCCATTTAACACATTCTGTGGGCCTATAAAGAAACTTTTCGGTCCAATTGTGAAAGATTGTTATAAAATCTCTCCACCAAATATATTCTACAAGGCGTTAAATAAATGCATTGAACCATTAATTCAGAATTACTATGCGACGCATCCAAACTTCAGTGTAATTAAAGAGGTTACGGATTTGCTTTTTAGTCGATGTAATAGATTAAAGAACCTCAAAATTTATCTTGGAGATGAGCATACACTGTCTTTAGCGGAAATGAACTTTGCTTTACTAACTATCCAACACAACTCCCTGCT